GCTCTTGTGCCTTCATGTCCATCTGGGGGAGGGGCGGTGGCGCTATGAGTTGTGATGGCCTGCTCAGATCACGTGAGGATGGAGGCCGATGAGGCTGGCGATGTGCACTCACCACGTCGTCATACTGTCCTCTCCCTGCTCCTCTCCAGCCGCTCCCCTCCTACGCCACTTCCTCCCTCGAGAACGGGTCGCTTGCCACGCTGTAGGAGGATTGGGCAGAGGTCGTGGTGGAGAAGGGCTGCGAAATGACAGGACTGGCGAAGACCGACGGACTTGGGGCAGGGCCCCCGTGCCGTTCGGCGTGCACGTCGTCAGTTGTCAGCTTTGGCCAGAAAAGCCACGCAAGGGACGAAACGTTGGCCCCATATCATACCCACAACCAGCTGCATCGACGCAGAGATAGAGATACATCGTCCCAGACTCGTCTGGAACGCTCTCAGGCTGCCCCGGAACGCTCTGAGGAGGCCGCGGCGCCCGGTACGACATCCTCGAGAACAGCCAGACCCCGCAGATCTCCCATTTGTCCATCTTTGTCCGATTATGTCCCTGTCCTGGGCCTGATTTCTCGGCACGAACATGACTGGTACGGAAAGACTGGGCACGAAGGCCGACAGCAGCTCTTCTTCACATTCTCAGCAGGACTCGCTGCCGGTGTCGCCGCGGGCGTTGTCCACTTGAGACAGAAAAGGCAGAAGCTCTACTCAGGAGGGGAAAAAACACAGACACAATTATTCGTCGATTCCCCAGAAAATATGGGAAAATATGGGACGTGGGGGGGAAGACAAAAACTTGAAACATATAGGAAAATATGGGGAATCATTTTATTTGTTTGTATTTATTTGTGTGTTTGTGGGCCCCTTCATCTACGAGTACACCAGCGGTGACCATGGTTGACGGTTCACTGCCGGCGCCCGCCCAGTTTTGGACGCCATCAGTGGACGCCACGAGTGTCGAGCAGCACTAAGGTCGAAGTTAGGAGACATTGCCCCACCCCAGACGAATTCTCAAAGATCTTCCTCGAAGGGCCAAGCCTACCTGCTTCTAGAAGACCAACATCTGGGGCCGATGTCACAAACCCTTCTCACGTCCCAGCCAAAAGCGTCCGTGGACACATGGGGCGCTGTGACGTCCACAGGCACTTTCAGGGTCGATGCGTCTATGGACAACGTGGTCGTTGCGTTCGGCGCGGCGCAAGGTCGGAGAAATGGTAGATCCGTCTACGGTATGTTCCTGTTCTAGAGCAGGTCCCGCATGGTACTCCTTCCAGAACGTGTTCCAGAAGGCCGCCTGTCGAAGGAGACAAAGCGCCATGAACACAAACCTTTGGCGCTCCGCGCGGAGTTCTCGGAGCCGCGCCGGGGCCTCTCCCCGCGGCGCCTCCGGCGCCGCCTCTGACGCCCTCCGCGCGCCAGGGAGGGGGGCTCCGGCGCGGACCCACGAGCTCCGCGCGGAGCGCCAAAGGTTTGTGTTCATGGCGTGCTTTGTCTCCTTCGGCAGGTGGCCTTCTGGAAGACGTTTTGGAAGATGTTAAAGGAACCGTGCGGGATCTGCTCCAGAACGGGAACATACAGTCGGTGCCCTGAAGAAGGAACCCTTTTCGTTGGGGAGGGGCTCGGTGTTCCTTGATTGTTTCACAGCTTGCCTCGGGTTTTCCTGCGGTTTTCCATCGGAAATCGACGTTGAACTTATGGGAAGAAGGGGCCTCGTTCCTTATTTAGGGTTCCTTAGGTCAACGCCCCGACGGTACCGCAGACGGACGTTTGTGGCGTTTTTCCTCCCTCCCGCCCGGCCCGCACCGGCCGCGGTCGGTTCGGGAGGTCCCTCGCGCACCGGGCGCCGCTGTCTGGGAGCAGCCGGGGGCCGCCGGCCCCCCGGGGCTCACGGGGCCTGCTGGCCGTCCCGTCCGCTCTCGGGAGGGGGAAAAACACACAGACACAATTAATCGTCGATCCCCCAGAAAATATGGGAAAATATGGGAAGTGGGGGGGAAGACAAAAACCCAGAAAATATGAGAAAATATGGGGAATCTTTTTATTCGTGTGTATTTATTTGTGTGTCCCAGGGCCCCTTCACGCTCGGGTGTTGCTAAAGTGCCCTTGGTCCAAGGTGCCCCCAGGATTCCTCGGGGTGGCCCAGACGGCCTCCAGAGCACCCCTCACGAGGCCCAGAGGGCCCCAGAGGGGCCCAAGAACGGGGCGAAAAGCTGGGGGTACCTTGGCAACACCCGATGCGCCCCCATCGACGGCTCAGTCCTCGATCCTCGATCCTCGATCCTGGATCCTCTCGCTCCTCTCGATCCTCGCTCCTCTCGATCCTCGACCTCGATCCTCTCGATCATCGATCCTCGCGATCCTGAAACCTCGATCCTCGACCTCGATCCTGGACAACGCATGCTTTGTTGGGGCTCGACGTCGAAAAATCTCATGGCGGGGCGATGTTTCCGTTTCGCCTTGGTGTTATCCCCAACCACCAACCTAATGTGTCCTGGGGTAGTTTTCCAGTCGCATTGCAACGCAGTGCGTGCGCGCGTGGCGTCCGCGCCGTGCGCTCCTTTTGTGACCTCGCTCGTCTGATGATGGCGCCGCGTGTGCTCCTCTTCCCACCGGCCTTTTTTCCTCCCGGGACTTCACCACCGGGCTCCTGTCCAAGGTGTACCTTTTCCTGCACGTCCCGTTCGGCACCGCCTGATCCCTGGGCTCCGCCTGCCCCTGGCCGCGTGAGGCCCGCCTTCTCCCGCCCTTTCTCTGCCAATTCAAGCTGTGCGCGTCCCGCGTAGCTTTCAGCGGAAGAGGTTCGCTCTCGCCCTGCAGATCAAAAAAAGTGCTCCTCTTCCCGCGTGCGGCGCACCGCGCGCGGCGCACCGCGTGGCGGGAGACGCCGAGGCCGGCGGCTGCAGGCTGGGCCCGAAGGGCACCCCCGGGACGGAGGAGTACGGGGACTACGAGGCTCCTCGCGGGCGCCCCTCGCGGGCGCTCCTCGCGGGCGCTCCTTCCTCCTCTTCCTTTGCCTCCGCCTCCGCCTCCTCCTCCTACGCCTCCTTCGCACCCTTCTCCTCGTCCTCCTCCTCCTCCGCCTCCGCCTCCGCCTCCGTCTCCTCCTCTTCTTCCTCTTCTTCCTCCTCCTCCACTTCCTCCTCGTCCTCTTCCTCTGCCTCTTCCTCCTCCTCCTCCTCCTTGCCTTCCTCCTCCTCCTCCTCCTCTTCCTGCTCTTTCCTCCTCTTCCTCCGCCTCCGCCTCCTCCTCATCCCTCCTCCTCCGCCTCCTCCTCCTCTTCCTCCTCCCCGCCTCCGCCCCCCCCCTCCTCCTCCTCCTCCTCCTCCTTCTCCTCCTTCTCTTTCTCCTCCTCTTCTTCCTCCGCCTCCGCCACCTCCTCCTCCTCCTCCTCCTCCGTCCCCTCCTCCTCCGCCTTCGCCTCCGCCTCCGCGTCCTCCTCCTCCTCCTCCTCTTCCTCCTCCTCCTCCTCCTCCTCCTCCTCCCTCGGACCCGAGGCTGTGGCAGGGCTATCAGCGCGTCGTCGTCGTGATCGTCGTCGAAGTCGTCGTTGTCGTCGTCGTCATCGCTGTCGTCGCCGTCGTCATCGTCGTTCGTCGTCTTCGAAGCCGCGGACTACAAGGCCCCTCGTAGGCGCCCCCAAGTCAATCAAACAGTGGCGAGGCGTCCAGGCCAATAGGCGCACCAAATAATGTTCTAGGAACCTCTTGTGCTTTGCACGGGATGCACTTATACTATTTATGGCTGTGGTTGTCTTGTTTTAGCATATCGGCTTGCTGTTCCAAGAATTTATACTGTCGTTCTTGGAACATTATTTTGCTCTAGGAGCATTTCCTGGTCGGCCTATAAGACTGCCGGGACGATCGGTCCCTTCTCAACTCAAGTCCTCAAGGCACCGAGCGCGTTCTACTACTCGCAACGTGCCTGCTCGCAAAAGGTCTGGAACACAAAAAAAAACAAACACAAACATCTGCCTCGACGTGATGAATCGCATTTTCCCCGGCGGAAATTGGCATTTGCGAGCAGTCACTTTGCGAGTAGTGGAACGCGCCTGTCTATCAAGTCAAAGGGCATCGAAGAAGAAACCACTGCACATCGGCGGCGAGCGAGGGGGGAGATGAGAAGGATAATGGCTTCCTGGAAGGTTCGGGAGTCCCTGGGCCTTCTGAGATTCTGTCCAGGCCTTCACCGAAGACGAACAGCAGCTTGTCAAAAGACGCCGAGGGCTTTTGAGGAGTCCCGCCGCCTTTGAGAGAGAGCCTCCTCCTTCTCGTCTCCCCTTCTCGCTCGCCGCCGAGCATAAAAGCACGACTTTCGGCGGGCTGCCCGGAGGCCGCGCGGCCCCCCCTCCCCACCCGGGGCCGGAGGAACACGGGGATTACGAGGCCCCCGCGCGCCCGCGCGCCTCACCCCTGCGATCCGGGCATCGCAGTTCTTCCTCCTTCCTCCTTCCTCCATCCTCCCTCGTCCTTCCTCCTCCTCTCCTTCCTCCTCCTCCTCCGCCTCCTCCTCCTCCTCCTCCTCCTCCTCCTCCTCCTCCTCCTCCTCCTCCTCCTCCTCCTCCTCCTCCTCCTCCTCCTCCTCCTCCTCCTCCCCCCCCTCCCCCTCCCCCTCCGCCTCCGCCTCTGCCTCCGCCTCCGCCTCCGGCGGGCGGAGTTGCGGCGGCCGGGAAGGGGGGGGGCTCTCGGCCGCGCGCAGGGGAGAGCAACGGGGGATGGGGCAGCGCTCTTGAGAAGGGGGTTGCACCTCCGCAGGCGCGGGCTACAGATGGAGCGCCCGCGCCCTCTCGGAGGCAGGCTCCCGACCCCTTCGTGCGCGCCGCCAGAGTGTAAGCGATGCGCCGCCGTCGGGGGCCCGTCGGCGCGTTGCCCCTTCGCCGGCGTCTTGGAAGGTCGTCGTGAAGCCTGGCCTTTTTCAACGCGTTTGACGCGCCGGGCCAGCGTCTTTGTTCGGGGCTCTCCGCGGGGAGTTCGCCAGTCTGGCGCCGCGGGCCCACTGGCGCCGCTCGCGGTCTTCTTCCTTCCGCCTCGACGAGTGCAGCAGGTTCCGTTCGGAATGCGAGGCCCAACTGGACGACCCACTCGGACCCTTGTTCTTTGCGCTCGCTGTCCAGCGAACGCCGAACAGGTCACGCGCGCGCCCCGCGCGGCCCGCGCCCCTGGCCAGGTCGACGTCACGGTTTTGTCTTCGACGGCAGGGCAATCGCGGGAGACTGACTCGCTGCGGCGCATCTCCTCCGCGGGCCGGTCGCAGAGCTCGCCGCGCTGGGGCTCCAGCGCAGCATCGGGCCAGGGAAGTGCGACGTGGCCCCTGCTGGCGGAAACGACAGCGCAGTCGACCTCGGCGCTTTCCCGCCAGGGTTCCGCCTCCGCGCGGACCGGGGCTTCGAGCTCCTCGGGGCGCTGGTCGGAAGCGACGCTTTCGGCTGCCAACGTGCGAAGCAGCGGGTCGCTACGGCGCAGGAGTTCTCGGGCGCTCTGGGGGCGCTGGAGGGCGCGCAGGTCGCCGTGCGACTCCTGCGCCAGTGCGCCTCCTTACGCGCGCCAGGCTACTGAGGGCGGGTGGTGTCGCCCACCGCGCGCGCGGCGGCTATGCGGGCGATGGGCGACGTGGTGCGAGCTTGCCTCACAGGTCTGGCTGCTTGCCAACCGGCGCGCTCAGGCGGCAGGCGCAACTCAATGTGCGCAATAGGGGCCGAGACATGTGCGCGGCCGAGCAGCGCGCCGCCGCCGCTCGGGCCCTGGCAGGCAGCTCCGAGCTCTGCCCGGGCTTCACCGAGGCGCGCAACGCTCGCGTGTCAAATGGGGGCTGGTCGGCGCGCGACCGGCGCAGTTCCTAGTTATGGTGGTGGAGTCCCACGGTGGCGGGTGGGGGCGCGAGGCTCCCGGCCAAGCGGGTGGCTGACGCCGCCGGGGAGGGTGCCGCCCCATATGCCGGACCAGCGCGCCCAGCGATTTTCAGTCTCCCTTGATCAGGAGACCGCGCGGGCGGTGCTGTTGCGGCTGCCGTCGACGGGGGTGGCTTGCCCGCCATGCAGAGGCGGCGGCTGTCGCCGTGTGAGTCGCCGATGGCGCCACCTTGCGCCCCCCCTCCCCCCTGCGCCGTGAGGGCGAGCGGGATCTCCTGCCGTTGGGCGGAGTGGGCGGGTTTTGGTCAGGCGGGTAGTATTGTCCGGAAGGGTCCCTGCTGCCAAAGCGACAGCGCGGCAGCTCCCCCCTCCCTGGGCCATCGCCGCCCTCGCGGTCCCAAGTCGCCCCCGCCAGCAGCTGCCGCGCAGCCCCCGGCGCGCCCGCGCCTGATGCCCCGCTGGCGCCGGCGCCAGCCGCGCTGTGCCCGACGCGCCCGCGCCCGCCGCGCCCGCGCTCGCCCCGACCACCGCCCCCCGCGTCCGCCCCGGGCGACCGCCCCCGCTTCCGCTCCCCACCGTTCGCCTGCTTGTCTGCTGCTCGCTGTTGGTGCTGCCCCCCTCGCTTTTCTCGCGCCCCCTCCCTGCGTCCTGCCTGCCGTTGGGGGCCGCTCTTCGTTCCTCCTCGTCCTCCTCCTCCTCCTCCTCCTCCTCCTCCTCCTCCTCCTCCTCCTCCTCCTCCTCCCCCCCCTCCCCCTCCTCCTCCTCCTCCTCCTCCTCTCCTCCTCCTCCTCCTCCTCCTCCTCCTCCTCCTCCTCTCCTCCTCCTCCTCCTCCTCCTCCCCTTCCTCCTCCTCCTCCGCCGCCTCCTCCTCCTGTTTGCATTGCATGTTGGCCTTGCGCGCGCCCGCCACCCTGGCAGCGAGAATCGGCCGGGAGCAACCGTCGCAACTTTGTTTCCCCCGCGGTCTGGGTCAGACGTTGCGGCCCGCAGGCCGGAGGGGCAGACCAGATGGGGCGCTGCTGCGGAGCTAGTGCGGAGCTAGCGCGCGCAGGCGCGTTGAGCTGCGAGACGTGCTGAGCTCCGGTGCATTTTCCGAGGGTGCTTGCGGTCAGGCCCATCTACCCTTTCGTTTGTCTCTCGTGCGTTGGTGTGCCCGTGAAGCCTCCCTCTGCGATTTGGCGCCACTGGTTCCCCCGCCCCACTGCCCCTTTCTGCTCCCTCGTACCCTGTCGGCTACCCGCTTTTCTCGCCGGTTTTCCAGTCCGAGCGGTTTGGGGCCCTCATGCTGTCGAGCGTTTCTTAGACATTCCACCTTGCGGTTGTGCGCGAGGTTGTGGAATCGTCCATGGCTCAAGTGCTACAATCCGAACTCCGAACCCGACCTTCGCCGATCAACGGTTCACGCAACTCGATGGGCGGCGGGGGTCGTGTTCGGAATGCGTCGAGCACGCAGCCAAAACCACCGGACCCTACCCCCGCCACCCATCGATGCAGGAACGTCGATTGTTGGTTGAATCTTTCCGGTGTCGCTGCATATCTGCTCCCCCCAATGGGTTTGGCGGGGCCGGGGCGTGGGACGCCAGGCCGGCGGCGGCTGCGGCGACGCGTGGTCGGGCGCTCGGAACGCCAGAGCGGCCACGCTGCCCTGCCCAGGGGAGGGAG